AGATTCCAGACCTTCATCAGAACTGAACCAGAACCCAGACCTCAATCAGAACCAGACCGGAACCCAGACCTTCATCAGAATCGGACCAGACCAGAACCCAGAACTTCATCAGAACCGAAAGGAATTCCAGACCTTCCTCAGAACCGGACCAGAAACCAGACCTTCATCAGAACCGGACCAGACCAGAACCTAGAACTTCATCAGAACCGAACTGGAACCCAGACCTTCCTCAGAACCAAACCCGACCAAAAACCAGACCTTCATCAGAACTGGACCAGAACCCAGAACTTCTTCAGAACCGAACCGGTTTAGAACCCCGATCTTCATTAGAACCAAACCGGAACCAAGACCCTCATCAGAACCGGATCAGACTTAGACAAACTTTATTGTTATTTGGTGTTCACTCTGTTTTACAATTATACAATTCCGTTTCAAACAGCTTTCTAACAGTGAATGAGCAGCTTAGCAGTGAAATGAACCCGTTCTTTTCATAAACTGCAGCAGTCAGAATGTAAACAGTGTAGGAGAGACATGGTGGAAAAGGCATTGATGTGGAAGTTCAGAGCAGTGCAAATAAATAAATATGGTGCAAAATGCAGTAGAAACACTGGGATGAAATGTCTTTAATGAAGGGAAGAGGAGCCCCCATGATCCTCTCTGCTGTTCTCACCTTCTTCCAGTCTGAGGCGCTGCAGCCTCCACAGCACACAGTGAGACAGCTGGTCAGAACGCTCTCTATGGTGCTTCTGGAGAAGGTGGGGAGGATGGGGGAGAGCAGGTGGGCTCTCCTCATCCTCCGCAGGAAGTCCAAGCGCTTCTGGGCCCTTTTGACCAGTGAGGTGGTGTTTCCAGTCTAGGTGAGGGTGTCTGTGCTGAATCTGGTGCTGCTGACCACCTCTACAGCTGAGCTGTTGATGACCTAAATTCTGTAGAAATTTTCTATTTTAATAATCCTTTTGTTGCAGCAGCTTTAATTAGTTATCATTTATTGATACGGTTGCAATAAGCTCCCAGTTTTAGTCAAATTTCCAGTAACTTTTTTCCCTCCCAGTTCTGTTTTTATGATGCAGTGATCAGTTAGTCATCTCAGGTCCTTTTATAGATCCAGATCCACCAGATCATCCAGTCAGAATGATTCAAAGTTTTCTATCTAAGGAAAACCAGTTGATTGCATCGACTCATTGACTCTTCAGCAATCCCTCACACTAAGC